GAAAGCTTGAAGAAGCAAGTTGATACTTGCTATTGAAGATGAAAGCCTTGAAGAATAGTTACAGACTGAGGACTAAACTGTTGTCAGAGGATTGCTTTGCTGTGGAGCTAGAGAAGCTGTTGATCTGCTTTCTTGACTGTCTGTTTTTTTTCTGTGCAACTGTATTGATGTGGCCTGTGTGATTTGCTTGATGCATTAGAATAAGTTCATGTTTAGATTGTGTTAAGCTAGGAGCATGATTGCACTAGAGGTTGAGTTGCTCCCTCTGCTTGTACTTTTACTGTATGGCTTTGCTTGCGGGTATTCGGTAGAGCTCTGCTCCCTTGCCTATGTGATTTGTGATTTGCTTGATGGCATTTTATTTTTCTTTCATGATTGCAATTATTCATATCTGGCTTGAGGTCGAGACGAGCTTGTGGAGGCTGATGCCCCACACACATTTACTCCCTCACTTGCATTGCATGCATTTTACAGTCGTTTACTGTTTAAGCTGATGCTTTATCTGTTTCTGTTTATCATTGACATGATCCCCTAGGAATCTCACTTCCTTTGACAAGGAAGTGATGATTAGAACTTTAGATTGAAACCTATGCATGATAACTTCTAGGAGTTCCCTGTTTCAAACCTCAACCATAGGATGAATCCTTGGCATGACAATATTAGGACTTGATAGTCTCCCTTTAGTTGAGCCTGTTCTCTCTTCTCATCTCAAACAACAGTAAATAAACGTAATAAAGGCAAGTTAGTATAAGCGCGTTACGAGCCTTAAGCTACTTGGGTAATGATAATTGAGCGGCCTCCTCTCAATCATCTAGAATGTTTAGCATACGTCCTTTGGACGATATGCGACTCATTCGTTCCCAGGTCATAGTCTCTAGTGCTGTACAAACTACAGACAAACATAAAAAACAGTTCTTCCGTAAAAGACAGAAAACAAACTTCAAACCTTTTGCCTCGTGGGCCCATAATTCAAAGGAAGCTTTTTTGAAGAAAAGAGTGTCGTTAACTCCCAGTTCTATCGCAAACGGTAACGCCTAAGTCTCCAAGGGTCGAGCTGCGTACGCCAAACTGCTGGAACTGTTTGTTAACCCTACTCGAAAACAGATGAATCTGAATCCCCGTAAGCCGTATTATCCTGAACTACGTGAGCTCTGATATCTCATACCTGTTTAGAGTACGTAGGCACAATACTGACGTATTGGCGAGCCACCTTCCTCCATAACCCGTAGTTAGCCGAACTATGTTGACTCTGATTTCTCATTCTCTGATGAGAATACGTAGGCATAAAGTGCGACGCTTTGCCGAGTCATTTTATTTTCTTTTCAGACCGGCCTTGATAGGTAGATAGTTAAATAAACCCGTCAGATAAACACAACAAGCGTGGATCTCATCGAGTACGATGGACGTGAGGGGTGCTAATACCTTCCCCTTGCGTAACCGACTCCCGAACCCAGACATTGGTTGCGACGACCTTGTCTTATACCTTTTTGTCAGGTTTTTCCGATTGTTTCCTTTCCCGTTCTGAGGGATAAATAACGAAAGATGGCGACTCTTCTGTTTTGCCGGCACCTTATTTTCGCAGTAGCGACAGCTGGCGACTCTGCTGGGGACATGATAGTTTCCTGGGATCCAACGTCCCTTATGCGAGTCAATTTGGGGATCCAACGTCCCCTGCGAGAGTCAATCCTAGCGCTTGTATGTTTACTTGTTGGGTTGTTTTTATTTATTGCATTTTATTTCCCGCACTTCATTTTCAGTATGATATGATTATCTGTACTGTTGCGGGAGGGGCATTCTGATGAGTGAGAAGGCAGACCCAGGCTTGAGAGCTACATAGTATTAGAGTGGGTTAGTGGAGGACGTGCTTGCTTTACTTGCATCTGTTCCCATGTAATCCACACTCAGACGAGGTTCTCTTTGATGGCTTCCTATCGGTCCTTTGGACTCGAGGGATTGTTGGAGCTGAGGATTGTCGACTCTGGGAACCGATCATTTGGAATTCAGCTAAGTGAGGCCGCTTCAAGAGATGATGATGCCACACCTCCTGGGTATCGCATCATCATTTCTTGAAAGTCTGTGACGTTGATGACCGCATAGGATGCCGAACCTTTTCTGTGATTAGGTCCATACCTGTGAGCAGGGTCGGGTGTGATGCAGGAAGCCTTAACCTTCAGATTACCTGGTTTTCTTGATAGTGAGTCAGTTTTGTTGGTATCAGAGGTTCTCATCATCAGATATGTGTGTTCTTGACAGAGCAGATTTATGGGTTCTTCTCATCAGAGATATGGTTGTTCTTGACAGAGCAGTATTGTGGTTTTGTTGATACAAAGCCTTCATCTCCTCAACAGCACAGTCGTCCTGATCTCCTACTGCATGATTGTATTTTGCATTACTTGCATCCTCATTTGCATGTCATTAACGTGTGTCTGTGTTGCAGGTGCATATTTCTCCCCTGGTTCTAGTGATCTTGATCCTCACGGCAGATATGACATCTCTGAAGAAGACTGTGGCTTACAAGCTACCAACACCTGACATCCGAGAGTTACGGACTTTGATTTCTTTGGCTGATAAGACAGTGATGAAGGGTTTCAGAAAGAGTTACGGGAGACTTCTGGGTATTGTGTATAAGCTTCCTACGTACGAGTTGAATGGCCTCTACGCCCTGCTGCAGTTTTACGACCCACAACTCAGATGCTTTGTGTTCCCATACTATGTCCTAGCTCCGACCCTGGAGGAGTACTCTGACCTGTTAGGGGTGCCTTTGTTGAATCAAATGCCTTATTACCGTATTGAGGGTGAACCCAAATTGAGTAAGTTGACTGACGCTCTTCATGTAGATGAGTCTGAGTTGGAAGGGATGGTATCCAGAAAGATCGGAGTTCATGGTTTCCTTTTGCATTTCCTGATGGAAAAGCCCGAAAGTTTACCGAGAAGGGTCGTTGGGATGTATTCAATGCCTTCTTAGCCCTATGTATCTATGGGATCGTGCTATTCCCAAGTCATCCGGACTTCATAAGCATGGATGCTTGCCACATATTTGCCTCCGGGAATCCAGTACCCACTCTCCTCGGAGACGTCTACCATTCAGTTCACAGCAAGAACGAAAACAGAAAGGGGAAGAACGTGGCATGTTGTGCTCCTTTAATGTATAAGTGGTTTGCTAGTCATCTTCCTAAGTCAGGGTCGTTCATTGATTCTGCTGAGTCTTCACCTTGATCTGCATGTTTGATGGGTTTGACTGCTGACAATGTTATCTGGTTTGATAGATATCTGCTGGGCAAAGATATTGTGTATAGCTGTTGTGGCTTTCCGAACATCCCCCTGGTCGAAAGGAATGGATGTATCAACTACAATCCATCTCTGCTGGTACGACAATTTGGGTATGCACTACGAGGTCCTCCTGAAGAGGAAGAGATACAAGAATCTCTATATCTCACGGGGTTACTTGAAGGCGACACGTTGATCAAGGTACAGAATGCTTGGAGCAAAATTCACCGAAAGGGGAAAGTCTTGCTAGGAAAAAGCAACAACAGGGCCTTTGATCCGTATGTGACTTGGGTTCGAGAAAGAGCCGCCCAATTTCTAATGTTGTTCCCTGCTGTGGAACCATTGTATCCTCCTGTGTATAAAGAGCCTACCACAGTTGATATTCAGAAATTCAACCAGGTACTCCAACAGAAGGAAGAGCTACGAAAGGCCAACGAAGAGTTGGAGAAAGAGATCGCTCAACTTCGGAAAGAGAAAAGTGAAGCCGTTTATACCTGCAAGAAGTAGACTGGGATGATCAACCATCTAGGCTCCAACCTGACCAAAGAAACTGATGCTAGGGAACGTTTGGGGTTGGACCTGAAGTCAGTACACAGCGTGTTGACGACCAAGAAACAGGATCTGGACAGAGTATATCGGATGTTAACCCAATACGAGAGGGTCTGGAGCAGTACCCTAGCCAAATACAAAGAGCGGGAAGAAAAGCTGAAGCAGCAAGTAGCTGAGCTAGAAGCTCAGATTACGGTGAAAGACGAGAAGATAGAGGCTGAAGCCTCACTGTGACGAGATGTCCAGTATAGATTGGCTGAGGCTAGGACGAATTTGCAAGACTTTCAACTCCGGGCTGATGCTAAAAGGAGTAGAGTCGAGAACCATTCTGAAGAAGGTGTTTCTAGAAGCGTTGTTGGGAACCTCCCAGAGTCCATTAGGCAGAGGGACCTGCTGATCCAAGGTTTGCTTACTCAGCCAGGTCATCCCGCTACAAAGAAGTTGATAGAAGATGCCCGTGCCCGCACCTGATCTTTTTGTATTTTCTTTGTACATTTTATGCATTAATATGTTGATCACCGCCAGGTCTGTTGGTTGGGGTCA